CCTGGAAGGACAATAAGCTAATATTAATCCTATCATATCTTTATTTCAGTGATTTGTAGATATTTTTAAGGATTTGATCTGAAAGTGCTTTCCTGAATTGTGCTGAAAGCATAATTGATTTTAATCATATTACAGAATCATAGAATAGTTAGGGTTGGAAAGGACCTCAAGATCATCTAGTTCCACACCCCCTCACCCCCCATGAACACGGACACCTCAGACTAAACCATCTCACCCAAGGCTCTGTCCAACCTGGCCTTGAACACCGCCAGGGATGGAGCATTCACAACCTCCCTGGGCAACCCATTCCAGTGCCTCACCACCCTTACAGGAAAGAATTTCTTCCTTATATGCAATTTAAACTTCCCCTGTTTAAGTTTTAACCCGTTACCCCTTGTCCTGTCATTGCAGTCCCTAATGAAGAGTCCCTCCCCAGCATCCTTATAAGCCTCCTTCAGATACTGGAAGGCTGCTCTGAGGTCTCCACGCAGTCTTCTCTTCTCCAGGCTGAACAGCCTCAACCTTCTCAGCCTATCTTCATATGAGAGGTGCTCCAGTCCCCTAATCATCCTAGTGGTCCTCCTCTGGACTTGTTCCAACAGTTCCATGTCCTTTTTATGTTGAGGCCACCAGAACTGCACACAATACTCCAGGTGGGGTCTCACAAGAGCAGAGCAGACAGGCAGGATCACCTCCTTCGATCTGCTGGTCATGCTGCTTTTGACGCAGCCCAGGATACGGTTGGCTTTCTGGGCTGCAAGCACACACTGATGACTCATGTTCATTTTCTCATCGACCATCACCCACAAGTCCTTCCCACAGGGCTGCTCTGAATCTTTTCTTTGCCCAGCCTGTAGGTGTGCCTGGGATTGCTTTGACCCAGGTGCAGAACCTTGCACTTGTTATGGTTGAACTTTATAAGGTTGGCATCAGCCCACCTCACAATCATGTCATAGCCACTTGTTACTGGTCTCCAACTGGACACTGAGCCATTGATCACAACTCTTTGTGTGCGGCCATCTAGCCAGTTCTTTATCCACCAAGTGGTCCACCTACCCAACCAATGTCTCTCCAATTTAGAGACAAGGATGTTGTGTGGGACAGTGTTGAACGCTTTACACAAGTCCAGGTACATGACATCAACTGCTCTACCCCGTCCATCAGTTCTGTAGCCCCATCATAGAAGGCCACCAAATTGGTCAGGCAGGATTTCCCCTTCGTGAAGCCATGCTGGCTGTCACCAAGCACCTTGTTGATTTTCATATGCCTTAGCATGCCTTCCAGGAGAACCAGCTCCAAGATTTTGCCAGGCACAGAGGTGAGACTGACTGGTCTGTAATTCCCCGGGTCATCCATTTTCCCCTTCTTGAAAATGGGGGTTATATTTCCCTTTTTCCAGTCGTTGGGAACTTCACCAGACTGCCATGATTTCTCAAATATGATGGCCAGCGGCTTCGCAACTTCATTTGCCCGCTCCTTCAGGACCCGCGGATGGATCTCATCAGGACCCACGGACTTGTGCACATTCAGATTTTAAGATGGTCTCGAAGCAGTTCTTCTCCTACAGTGGGCGCAAGGTCTTCATTCTCACAGTCCCTGCATCTGCCGTTCAAGATTTGAGTGGTTTGGTCAGAGCCTTAGCCAGTGAAGACCGAGGCAAAGAAGTCATTCAGAACCTCAGCCTTCTCCAAATCCTGTGTAGCCAGTTCTCCTGAGAACTTCCTGAGGGGACCTACATTCTCCCTAGTCTGTTTTTTATTTGCTATGTACTTGTAGAATCCCTTCCTGTTATCTTTAATACCTCTAGCTAAGTTTAATTCTAACTGAGCCTTAGCTTTCCTAATCTGGTCCCTAGCTTCCCAGACAACATTCCTGTATTCTTCCCAGGCTGTCTGTCCTTGCTTCCACCTTTTATAAGCCCTTTCTTTTTCCTTCGATGTTTCTTCAGCAGCTCCTTATCCATCCATGGAGGTCTCCCGGCCCTCCTGCTGCACTTCCTTCTAGTCGGGATGCAACAGTCTTGAGCTTGTAGCTGGTGATCCTTGAATATCAACCAACAGTTTTGGGCACCCCTGGCCTCTAGGGCTATATCCCATGGAACCTTACTAAGCAGGTTCCTGAGGAGGCCAAAGTCTTCTCACTTGAAGTCCAGTGCAGTGAGCTTGCTACACACTCTTCTCACTGTCCTGAGGATCTTGAATTCGACCATCTCGTCATCTCTCCATTGTCATATATATTTTCAAAGGAATAAAATGGTTTCTGCCTCCTTTAATTTCTTTAAGTTACAGATGGCAACTAGAAGCTAGGCTTCCTCGACTATAGCGCAGATTAAGGTCAAGAGTTCAGAAAAATGCTTTTATCATTTAATCACCATAATCAATCACTGAAATTAAGGCTGTAGATGTAGCATGAAAGGCTTCAGAGAAAGAAAGAAGCAGCTTGATCCAGAAGTGTTTAAAATTAATTAAATAAGGTTTTCATTTTAATTTGCTCTAATTTAAGTGGAGCTTTTAATTCCCACACTGTTTTAATTCTTTTCAATCTGTGACCCAGTTACACGTTGTGAAAGAAAGTATCTCCTTAAGTTTCTCAGATACAATGAATTAATACTAATCTGAAAGTGACATTTCACAGCGGGTGCAAAAACTGTGATTTTCACTCCCATCCCAAAGTACAAAGAATCTGCTTCCATTACTTTTCTACAAATACTGGAAATACACCATGTTAACGTGCAATGTATTTCTTAATTTTTCATTTACTTCTCTTTTTGCAGACTTCCTCAGCTCTCTTTAACACCTTGTCAAACCATCTGCCAGTACCTTCAGCCCTTATGCCTTACTATGTCACTCCACTCTGAAGTTAATTTTCAAAATAACTTCAAGTTGCACCCACTGAATAAACAAACAATTTCTGAAGCAAGGAGTGCATCACAGTATTTCATTGCAACAAGGCATAGGTAACTTCCTGGCCTTTTATAGGAGTAACTATTTACAAACTAAATGTTCACAATATTACACGGCCATGTTTATACGCCAGGCAGAGGAGAGAGGCTCCTAAGAATCTTAAAAGATAAAATAAATGAAATAAATTTCTGAACTCTATGAATCTTCACAAAGTCTTTCCAAAGTGTACTTGCTATCAGGGTACACACTTAAAAATAGCCTATAGTACAGCTCAAACCAAGATTTGTGGGGCTTCGGAAAAAAAAAGATAAGAACAATGTTATAGTTTAGATGTCTTGGTATTCTATGGAAAAAGAAGGACTTTTGTTCTAGTCTGCTCGTTAGACAGTCTACAGTCTTTATGCAATGACTGCTGAACAGGAGATGCAACCTCCTAATTGCACAAGGCTACGGAGTAAAAACCTGACATTCAGGGCCCCAGTGCTTAACTTCACATAACACCCCCTTCTCCTCTGCTGTATCAGAATACAAACAGCTGCTGTGCTAGTTATTTTCAGGCTGAGAAGTACAGAGACAGAGCTCAGCTGCTCACTGCCTTGTCTCCGAATCACATCATGTAGGCTGAATATCAGCATGTGGCTCTTCAAACTGGGTCATTTTCAGATATGGGTATTGGAAGAACTCTTAATACAAAAATGTCTGTGGGTGATTAATATTTAGGCAACCACTAGAGAATCTGTAATGACTTCTTTAACTTCAGCATCTAAATTCTGTCTATATACTGTTTTTCTTACTATTCATTCAAACTATGAACCTGCATTCAAGCTTACCAAAAATACCATACAGAGGAATATAATAAATACACGTGTAAGAGACCTATTTTGCCTTTTAATACACTAGCACAAATATCTGTCATAGATCTCAGTAAAGACAATGTTAAGATTCCATAAGGTATTGATTAAAAAAAAGGAGATACCATATCAAACTTTATATCTCTTCAGATCCTGGAAAACCCAGTTTATGCACCATCAAGCAGACCCTGAGTCAGGGCATGGCATGCTGCACGTATCCTGTCTGTAGGGAGTGAGGTTTACTGGCGCTATGGTCTCTAGAGCTCTTTCAAGTTTTTCTTAGAAGTAAACAAGTCTATTCATCATTTCTACTGTCAAGCAAAAGGATGTTCACATGAAAACATGCTGCTTCACTTTAAGGTAGAGACAAGGACATTCTAGTGGTATCATCACCAGGTGCCAAGCCAGAGCTGCCTGCCTACAGGTTTCTCCATTCTGATCAGCTACCTAAGTCTGTCCTGCAGGCAAGTGGTGTGTGCATAATAGCACTGGTGTGCACCTACTCAGGTCAACTGTTATGTGGATCACTAACTCCGCAGTGTACAATAGCCTCCCTGTAAACATCACTGCATGTTCTCTCCTACCTAACACAAGAAGGTAGCAATACAAAGTATTGGGAAAAAAAGTAATGAAGACAGATGAAAGAAGGAGAAAGATTACACTGACAAATTCAACAGGAAAGATTAGAAGCTTCTCCCCCTCCCCTTTTTTTAGGGGGAGGGGTAAGTGTATTTATTTCAGTTAAATTTGAATGATATAATATCACTGGTGAGTTATTAGGTATGTCTAAAATCCCTGGTTCTCAAAAGGGGCAAAACACTATTGCATTTTTCAGTAGTCAACAGCTGGTGTTCACTCCATGTGACAGCATGGAGCAGGCTCCCCAGCTCTCAGCAACCAGTGTTACTAGTCAACACTGAAAGCAGAAGTCAGGATTATACAGATGATTTGGGAAAGGAAAGAGATAATCATCTCCTATTATCCAGGATGACTGGCCAAAATGGTACTTCATACTCCACTCCCTGGTGTGATTCCCTGCCAAGAGTCCCAGTTCAAGCCTATACAATTATGCATTCAGAATATACCTTGTAAATGCATACCTTTTTAAAAATAAAACAGTTATCAGAGATCAAAAGTCATGCTCACTAGATAAAGTGAACAAGATGCACTAAAATTAGTAATTTGTATGATAGATGATTGAACATGTATTTGATAATCTTTATTTCTAGGTTTACATATACTCTACCTTCCAGATGTGTTCTTTAGTATAGCAAGAGCATCTGGGTAGCCATCCATATTGTAATCTCCAATATGAAGTGTAATTGGAAATGAAGTTTCTGTTGAAGATTTGTCACTTTGATATGGTACGAAGCCCCAGAGTGTCTCTTTATTTCTGAAGTCTTGCAAGACTGGAATCCACTGTAAAATAAAACAAAAAAAAAAAAACCCAGCTAGGAAAAGAAATCCATTTTCTTCATTTAAACAACCTAGTTCTTTTTAAAACAGCAGACATATATTCACTGCATCAGGATTCTTAACCATTCAATAATTTCCAAAGTGGAAATAATGATTATTTCCTAGCTCTGGTACCAAATGAAAAAAATGATTTGAAGTTTTTTCTATTCGAGAACAGGAAAAAAAAAAAAAAAAAGGTTGTAAGAATAAAGGACCTGTGTTTTGAAATGTGTCCAGTGTATGGAAATATTCAGGAATAACTTCAGTGAAATTCAGGTTTGCCTGCAATCTATACTAATCCTCAAGTATAGGTAAGGCCAAATCACAAGTCCCATAATTTTTCCTTGAATGGCAAGCAATAGGCAGCATTAAAGCTGGAGAGGGGGTTCACCCTCATTAAATTTGTAGACAACACCAAACTGGGGGATACTACCAATATGCTTCAGGAGCAGATGGCCATTCAGAACGGTAAGAATGGGAAAAAAGGGACCTCATAACAGTTAGTAAAGGAAATCCAGTACAGGGGAGTAAATCGCCATAAACAGTACAGGCTGGAGACCCACCAGCTGGATAGCTTTCCTAAAAAGGATGCCCAGGTCCTGGTGAGCAGTAAGCTAAAGCTGAGCGTGGCAGCTATGACAGCATAAGAGCATACCACACTGTAACTGCTGCCTATACTCCTGCTGGTTGAGGCAAGTCATCATTTCTTTGTTTGGCAGTTGTTAGTCTGCATCTGGATTCTGCATCCAGTTTTGTCCCCCATGGTTCAAGATTTGAGAATACAAAAAGTACAAAAAAAGTACAAAAGTACAAAAGAAATGCAAAGTATAATTTCTCCAGGACAAGAAACAGAATGTATCTGCACTTACTTTCCACTAAGTGCTGAAGAAGTGCTAAACAGCAATTTATCTTAATTAAAATCAAAAGTAATTTTAGGAGTTGGTATGAATCCAAAGTACCAGGGTTAACATTTCAATGCTATGGAAAAAATCAGTGCCATTTTTAAAACCAGAAGTAGTTTTATATGTCAATTAACTCACAATGCCTTCAAAAGGACAGAAGGGTGCCATCTTAAAGGACCACTATCACCAGCATCAAAAGACTTAGAGCATCTTAAATGTTCTTTATCCAAGCTTTAATTTAGCTATTTCAGGAACCAGAATGAGATCCCTGACAGCATGGTTGCCTGCTGTGGAAAGACCCCCTTACTAACACAGTTCAGTAATCAACACCACTTCTGCCATATGGCAGGAATGTGTGAGACTTGGACTGGTCCTTTGAGATTACCTACAGCCATGTGTGTATTAGAGAAGCCTGCAGAGTTGTTGAAGTATGCTAAGGTCACCTCTGGGTATCACACATGGCTTAGAAGCCTGGACCAGTCCTGCCAGACACTGCTTATACTTACTGCATGTCTGCCTATGTGAGTGGTGGCATCTCAGTTGCAGTAATGACCTACACCACACTTGATGAAAACTTAAAGCTGAAACTAAACATACTTTACCCTTTCACCTTCCCCCCCCCCCCCGCATGCCCATGTAGTTACTGCTAGCTGCTGAAGGTTTGGAAAAGTCTAAGAAACACAAAATAAGGAAAAGACTCTTAACCCAAGGGAAATTTTTCAAAGGGTTAGATTTCTTAGCGCTTACTTGTCATGCAGAAGACAGATGAAACAGTATTATTGCAAACCACTGTAATTTTTGAAAAACACTGATTGAAATCAGAACCATGAAATATAATACAGGTCTTGATTTACACGGTACCATTCACATAGTCATTGCATTGAAATCCAATTATATCCATCATATACTTTCTAAATGTTCCCATGTAAGGTAACACTATTTTAAAGGAAAAATAGTTTTTAGGCATAAATTTGAATTCGTATTCTGTTTTTACTCTACTTAGAGTGATTCATAGAAGGCAATTTACAGTCATCAAGTCTACAATATACAAAACAATGGGTGAGCAAAACAGAAACATCCCCTATTGCAACCAAGCATCATCACTCTGCATACTTCAGAATAAGGCTCATCCATCCCATGAACCGGTTGTGGGACTTACAACTGCAGCTGTAGAACCTTTTAAAAATATCATTCTTGTTCGATGTGCAACCAGAGCATGCTCTAGTAACTTACTCTGAGAGTTTAAATTCAGAGTAACCCACATGTTTGGTAAAACTCATTCTGCATATTTTATAAATAGCACTATAACGTAATCGTGTGCAATGTAATGCAAGAGTGATTGTTCATGTGCCTCAGGACATACATTTCAGTACAGAAGGCAAAAAACAAAAGTATGTTTGTCAATAATATAAATATCCTACTTCTTTCGTATTTGATAATCCAGACAATTACTTTAGGGTTCATGTTTGCTGTTATCATTTTAATAGCAAAGAGACTAAAACTAATTTTTTTCCTTTTACTATAAGATATAAATAGGTGGGTATAATGAGGACACACAAAGCTATTTTTGCTGTTTTCTGATCATATGATTTCTATTACCTAGATAAGATGCAAAAACATACGGAAAAATGGAACGAGTGTATCAAAAGGAAAATTTAAATGAACACATAAAATTTAGAGAAAAGTTATACTTCCTCCCTTTCTGTAAAATTTAATTGCATAGCACCACTGATGTTATTTATAAGATTTATATACGTATTTTTAATCCTTCAATTAATGATTTTGTAGGCTAAAATAAGAAAAAAAAGTCTTCACTGCTTTAAAATTTGTTTTCCAACTCTTGTTTTAGAACAAGCCTAAAAAATAAAAACTACCTGTTTTTCAAGACATAGAAGAGAAAAAAATGCTTTATTGCCCTATGAAAACAGGGTCATTTTCATTTTGAAAAAACTCTCAGGTACTGGATTAAAATTTAAAGCTTGTTGCACTCACCCTACTGAACTTGAAAATGGCTTATTTCTTTCATTCCACCTTCTTCTAGACATTAGGAAATATATAAAAGCCTTGCTCTAAAGCCTTTCAGTAGGTCTTTGATCCAAAACTGTGGAATTAACACACCCCAATTTTTAAATTATGGCTAAAATCCTATGAAGCACAAAACCCCACCCAGCCAGCTTCCCTCTTCCAGACCACCTAACTTGGGCAGGGAGCCAGCTGCAAATCAGCATGCATTTGGAGACTGGTAGTCCTTTCTTGGCCAATACATTTTCCGGAAATGTCAGGGTCTCTCCTCCTTTCTATGACGAACGCTTTGCCATCCTATAGGGCAATGAGTATCAAGAGTGGCCAGAAAAAACTGGCCACGGCAACAGAAGTCCTTTTCCCTGGGGGCTCCTGCTCTACGGTACACATGCACTGCAGTTCAGCTGCACATAAAGAAATCCTCTGATTTCAGGCTGCATTAGGCTTCTGGTGCTTATGAAGGTCCCTGAAATTCATATGCAATTGAGCAGCTACTATCACATAAAACCAAACTAAGTTATCTATACATCAGTATCACAACATTAATTTATGGAGCTCAAGCCCAGAAGACAACAATCTAAAACACTGATTTAGCCAGAAAAAGGTAACCAGAGCAGTAAAAGTTGTATTTCTGATGTTGGAATGTGTCTCAGAGGCCCATAGCTGCTTTGAGAAAATGAGCAACTTGGAAACAATGAGATGATCCTGTAGAATCTTGAGATTTATGAAATTGCAGCTGGAGTCTCCCCTCCCCTCCACCAGCTTCTGATAGCCCTTAAACTGTTGCACAGGAACAAGGACAAACTTCTAACACTGACCAACTGCAGCTGATAATCAGTGCTTGTCGTGGTTTAAACCCAGTCAGGTAATTAGTTCGCTCACTTCCCCCCCTTTCTTGCCCTCCCCCTGCTCCCGGAGGGACGGAGAGGAGAATCAAAAAGAATGCAACTCCCACGGGTTGAGATAAGAACAGTTTAAGAACTAAGGTATAACACAAATCACTACTGCTACCACCAATGATAATAATGATAAAGGAAATAACAAGGGAACAGAATACAACACCTCACCACCTGCTGACCGATAACTCGCCCCTCCCCAAGCCCGACCAAGCTCCGACCGATACCTCCTCCAACCCTGCAGTCTCCCAGCCCTTCCGGCTAACTCCCAGTTACATCCTGGGCATGACGTGCTGTGGTATGGAATAGCTCTTTGGTCAGTTTGGGTCAGGTGTCCTGTCTCTGCTTCCTCCCAGCTTCCCCTCCTCCCTGGCAGAGCATGAGGCTCACAAAGTCCTTGGCCAAACCAAAACATCTCTATCAGCTCTGTTCCCGAGCCGAAAGTCAAAACACTGCACTGCACCAGCTACCAAGGAGGAGAAACGTGACTGCTACTGCTGAACCCAGGACAGTGCTGTCACAAACTTCTCTAGCCTGGAGAGCAACATGATAAAGACCTGTGATTTGCTGTAGGATGTACCACTGTGTTCTACTTCAGAGCTGCTAGATTTAGAAGAGGAATAAAGCTATAATCTTTCCATTGTACAAAGAAAGGTTATAAGAATCATCAAGCCATAAAGAAGCCCTCCAGTGAAGTGACTAAAATATTGCTGTTTGCTTCAGGAAACAAAGGAAGAATCATACTGAATACTTGGAAAACTGGAAGAAACGTTAGTCACCTCTAAGAATATCATAGCACGCAGACTTTCCACAGTAAGTATCACAGACTTCAAAACATTTTTCAGGGAGAACTCAGTCCACTTTTCAGAATGTAAATGAGAGATCTGAATCATCCAGCTGATTAGTCTGCAGCTGTTGCAGGTGACTTAGAAGAAGCCTGAAGTGTCCTAACACCTGCCATAACCTGAAACAGCACATGGGATTCTACTTCAGATCTGTCAGCAACTCTTCTGTCATTATGGAAACAGTCACATTTTTTTGAAATGTTAGTAGATCTGTATCTCCTGAAGTCACTCATGTGTTTTTTTGCCTTACTTTTGCTCCATCATCCAAAGAAGATAATCTATCAGAGATATTTCTAATACTCATAAAGATTAAACAATTAAACAAATGAAAACCTTTGGTGAACGATCATCCCTGAAAATAATCTTCCTAGGTCTGCTTGGCTTTCCAGTTGCCATCCAGCTATGCTAAAGATGTCATGAGAAATATACTGCAGAATGACAGACATCAAACATGACCTTACTGGAACAACTTGAAAGCCTGACATGCCATTGCATGCTTCACCACAACGTAAGTTTTAGAACCACGTTCTACAGATGTGTATTTCTGATTGTTACACATTTCATCCCAATGAATCATATGCTATCATGGAACTGATTTTAATTTGGTTTTATCTGACATCACAACAAACAAGACATGAAGAAATATGTATGGCAAACACTACAAATTCCTGTAACCCGTTACAAGTTGTAATGGGTTCAAACTCAAACGGGGGAAGTTTAGATTAGATATGAGGAAGAAGTTCCTACTGTCAGGGTGGTGAGGCACTGGAATGGGTTGCCCATGGAAGCTGTGAATGCTCCATCCCTGGTGGTGTTTAAGGCCAAGTTGGACAGAGCCTTGGGTGACATGGTTTATTGAGTGTGAGGTGTCCGTGCCCATGGCAGGGGGGTGAAACTAGATGACCTTAAGGTCCTTTCCAACCCTAACTATTCTATGATTCTACTGTATGATTCTAAGTACACTATAGTGGGTTTTGCTGTCAACTATAAGCATGTACTTTATAGGACACCCTGGCCTTTACATTCACACTGCTAAACATGAATTTAGAAAAAATAATTTTTCAGGCATCAAACAAATATTAAGTTATCATAAACTGTAACTTTATTATAAAGCAGGGAACTATAAATACTTAAAACAGATTAAGACACACTTTAAGTGAATATATAGTAATCTATTACATGAATTATGACCATGTCTCTCAAAACAAGTAGTGTTTGTGAGCGAAGCTGAAGTAGTTAAATAGAAACCTAGCCCTGAAGATACACAGCCTAAACACAAGTCTTCACATACTGTTTGGAAATTTACTTACTTACTAAGAATCAAAGACACAGTAGCAAAAAGGTGTAAGAGGTGTGAGCTGGTTCAACTTGATATATGTGGATGCACATATATATATTTATATAAATATATATATATATATATATTTACTATAAAATAACTCCCTACCAGGAACTAAGTAAGATTATTTGAATTAATTAGATCTGTTTCGAACTCTTAACACAAACCTTGATTTCCATCTCAGGCTAGGGCAGTTAAGATGCTTTGGATACACTGTTTTACAATCAAGAAGTGACTCACTGAAACATCTGGAATTTTCTTGAGTAGAATTATCCATTATATAGAATTCTAGGTATGCAACATCTTCCACCAAACTCAGGGTTTTTTTTGGTAGGTAACAAGTAAATAAACGAAAGTCTTATATGCAATGATTACAAGTGAGGAAGTCTTATTCTGCTTTCCTGTTTCACCTTATTTCATAAAGAACAGTATTTTCCTTTGTCTTTGCAATTTCAAACTCACAATACCTGATCCATTCCTAGCTTAGTTAAGTAGATGGCACTTTTTTGACATGTTGTATCTTCACAGACTGGTAATAAATGTTCACTTTGTCCGTCTCCATCTGTGAGAGAAAAAAAAAAAACAAACAAAAACCAAAATCACACACGACTGGCAGCTTTGTATTTGCAGAATCAGAAATCCTGTTACCCTGTTTGCAAGAAATCATCAGCTATGAATAATACATTGATTTTTAAAATGTGAAAAATGACATGAGAGAAACAAGACCTATTTAAAGTCCTTAACTTGATAATCTAATTCTGGTATTTTATTTGAAATTTTCTCAGTTGATGTATTTTCATCTTGACCCATAAACATTTTATTTCTGATGATAATGTGATATACTTAGAAGACTGCTTAGTAATTTACTTAATCCCTGTGTTTAGTTGGGAAGAAAATGACCTTTAATATACATGCATCATCACAAGTCCACCATACAAACGTATTTAATATTCTGAACTACTTTTAAACTCTTGTGCTAAGGTAAGAATACATTAATCTATAACATAAATAACAACACTGGAAAGTTGACTAACACAATGGCTAATAAATTCCAGCCTTACAGAATTAGGCAAATCTGAGAAATTTACAGGTTCTCAAAAATGTTCTTCAAGCACTTTTAATCCACATTATTTCCAAAACCTTTAATAGAATGATGACCTTTTGTCATGGTTTAAACCCAGTCAGACAACTTGTTCACTCACTCCCAGTGAGTGGTGCCGGGCTGACAACAATCGAGGCCCGCCCCCCCCCCCCCCCCGGGCTCTCCCCTTCCCCGCTCCTGGAGGAACGGGGAGGAGGATCGAAAGGGTGCAACTCCTATGGATTGCGACAAGAACAGTCCAGCAACCAATGTACAACACAAATCACCACCGCTACCACCAACGACAACAATGATAAGAGAAAATAATAAGGGAAGAGAATACGATACCACCGGCCAAGAAACGAGTCCCACCCGGAAGCCTGTGTCCTTCCAGGTAACTCCCAGTTACCCCCTCACCCCGGGCATGACGTGCTGTGGTATGGAATACCTCCTTGGCTAGCCCGGGTCAGGTGCCCCATCTCTGCTTCCTCACAGCTTCCCCTCCTCCCTGGCAGAGCCTGAGACTCACAAAGTCCTTGGTCAGGGTAAACATCACTTAGCAACAACCAAAAACATCGGTTTCACCAACACTGTTCCCAGGCTGGAAGTCAAAACACAGCACTGCACCAGCTACCACGAAGGAGAAACATGACTGCCACTGCTGAACCCAGGACACCTTTCCATGTTTAAACAAGCAAAGTCTATTTGCATCTAGAATTCTGGCACACAGAGCAAATAATGCTGGGGTGCGTGTGTGTGTGTGTGTGTGTGAATTCACTGCTCAATTCCTACTCCATGAGAGATCCCTATGTTCTCTTTCTGGCCTCACAGCCCTGCCTAGCATAGTCAGAAATACAGCACCTTCCTACACGGAGAGAGGCCACCACAGGTTATCTTGTATGGCCTGAGAAGGAAGATGATAGTAGCTTAATGGAAGCAGCCAAAAAGCAGCAGCTAGAATTCCTGCATTAATGACTACTGCTGCAAGTCCTTGACTACTGCAACCAAACTTGACTCACTGAAGAGATGATATGCCCCAACTCAGGGGAAGCTCAAGTAATCTGCTTTTCCAGGCTATGAAATCAAAGGTCATACTGTAATAAGAATTAATCTTTATAAATTGCTCCTTAACCCATATAGTTCTGAGGAGCTTGTATTAATATTTTAATAGGACACAGTTCCCCCTGTTCCCCTAACTGGAATGGACCTAGAGGTCCATTTATCTAACTTTTATTACACACTCCTCCTTTCAGTTGAAACAAATTTTTAAGAGAAGAGAAAAATCTGTTGGAAATTTACAGCACAATTTTAAGGAAAATAAATAAATAAAAATTTTTCAAGAAAAAGATGAGAAGTCTAAGGGTTCTTAAGCTCACCGAGATCCCTCCAAAAGTTTTTCAGATAGAGATATCCATCTTATGAATACTGAACTGGTGTTTTCTTGTTTAGTTATATATTGTATTACAGAAAAGTAGCAATAAAGAAAAGGAAACCCCAACATTCTTCATCTCTATCATACTATTACCTCATATTTCTTCTTGTCGTGGTTTAAACCCAGTCAGGTAACTTGTTCACTCACCCCCCCCCACCTTCTTTCCCTCCCCCTACTCCCGGAGGGACGGAGAGGAGAATCAAAAAGAATGCAACTCCCATGGGTTGAGATAAGAACAGTTTAAGAACTAAGGTATAACACAGATCACTACTGCTACCACCAATGATAATAATGATAAAGGAAATAACAAGGGAAGAGAATACAACACCTCAGCACCAGCTGACCGATAACTCGCCCCCCAAGCCCGACCAAGCTCCGACCGATACCTCCTCCAACCCTGCAGTCTCCCAGCCCTTCCGGCTCACTCCCAGTTACATCCTGGGCATGACGTGCTGTGGTATGGAATAGCTCTTTGGTCAGTTTGGGTCAGGTGTCCTGTCTCTGCTTCCTCCTGGCTTCCCCTCCTCCCTGGCAGAGCATGAGGCTCACAAAGTCCTTGGCCAAACCAAAACATCGCTATCAGCTCTGTTCCCGAGCTGAAAGTCAAAACACTGCACTACACCAGCTACCAAGAAGGAGAAAAATGACTGCTACTGCTGAACCCAGGACACTTCTCTAGTTTTTATTCCTAATGCACATCTTTTGATGGACAGATCAATCTTTTACTGTTGATATTATCTGATTAAAATCAGTTTTCTGAAGAAAAATCAGAGATTGTCAAAATTGTTAACCCACATTTTATAAGTCAAATGCAGCAGTTACCATTTCTTACAAAAATGAGGATAAACCCCACCTGGAACACTGGCTAAAACTGTAGAATAATTTATTTAAATTAAAATCTTGCATCAACCTTTGTTCAAAAAAGCCCAAGAAAACCCTCCCACAAAACCAGCACTACGCACAAACCTAAAGCAGAATCTTTTTCACTATCCATTACAACCTGAAACTGTTCTCATCTGTGATAAGTAGAAGCACGATTTTTCCTGTATTTCTGAAGATTTTTCAAGGGCAATATCTAAAACCAACAAATTGATAAGTGGCTTTTTCAGTTTTGAAAGAAAATAATTTATTCCTAATACTTATGCAGTTCCAGCCTTGGAAGAATCTGAAATACAAACTTTTGTCACAACTCTACTGATCTTGAAAGACCACACATAAAAACCTCAGCAGCTGCTCACAGAAGACCTCAATCTTGCTAATAGACTTAGTTTACTAATGCTAACTCTTGTCATTATGCTTGGTTTCAATTTCAATTTAAACAAATACCCTTCAATTTTAAACTCTAATCTTGAATTTAAATTCCTCCACAAAGGAGGAAGAAAACAGAAATCAAAAAGGAGTACCATTAGCCATTTGCTCTACTGCAATTAGGTATCCATAGATGGCAACACATGCATTGGTCACAGTGGCTGGATGAACCCATCAGACCAGCTGAAATAAGCTGCACTAGTTTCAGATGTAAAAAACACCTTGCACAACATGGCTCTCATAGTGTATTTCAGCCTAGGTTTACCTAAAAAATCTGTTTCTGGAGATTCTCTGCAGTCTTCATTCAGCTCCCAGAGTCTACTTTCCATTACTATACACATTTCAAAAAGTCTCAGTCCAAACTGCCATAAATCCCAAGATTATCCTTACTTGCTATTTCTAGGTAATTTCTAGCAGTAGCTGTGGCTAACTAAACATACCCTAGACTCCAAGTGTCCTTTGCCACTACCAACTGACTAAAAGCATGTTTAACATGCAAATAAAATCTCAACTGTTAAATAAAATCTCAACCATTAGCTAGTCTGTTCTCAACACACAATTCCAGCTTAAGTAGTAATAATAAAGAACTACATGGTTAATAAAGATCAAATTTTACAGGCAGTCGAAAAGGCTAGAAAAAGAACAGTCCCACATACTCATCAACGGCAAATCTGTACTTCTGTCAAAACACGCAGGGACAAAATTAGCAGTCTTACGCTATAGAGGAATCATGTGAGAATCACAGAATCATAGAATAGTTAGGGTTGGAAAGGACCTTAAGACCATCTAGTTCCAATCCCCCTGCCATGGGGGGGGGGCAGACTAAACCGTCTCACCCAAGGCTCTGTTCAACCTGGCCTTGAACACCGCCAGGGATGGAGCATTCACAGCCTCCCTGGGCAATCCATTCCAGTGCCTCATCACCCTTCCAGGAAAGAATTTCTTCCTTATATCCAATCTAAACTTCCCCTGTTTAAGTTTTAACCCGTTACCCCTTGTCCTGTCACTGCAGTCCCTAATGAAGAGTCCCTCCCCAGCATCCTTATAAGCCTCCTTCAGATACTGGAAGGTTGCTCTGAGGTCTCCACGCAGTCTTCTCCAGGCTGAACAGCCCCAACTTTCTCAGCCTATCTTCACACGGGAGGTGCTCCAGTCCCCTAATCATTCTCGTGGCCCTCCTCTGGACTTGTTCCAACAGTTCCATGTCCTTTTTATGTTAAGGACACCAGAACTGCACATGAATGATTCCTTACAACTGCCTGTTCACTGTATTTTTAAGGCAAGCCAGGGATACTCTGTTCTTCCCAACATTTTGCCTCTGTCTGCAAAGCAATCTAATCCAGAACAAGAGTAACCCAAAAGACATAGATTGTGCAGCTCACTAGGAGCACACCTCATATAGAGAAATTGTATGAGAAAAATGACTCACAGCTGAAGCTTTAACATTGACTGTGAATGTTCAAACTTGGAAAAAAGCATTAGCTCAAACATTTTCAATCAATTCTGAAAGTTAAGTTTGAGTGGGAGAGAGCACAAGAAAACTTTTTAAATCAGATAAAGAACAACATGATGCTATGAAAAAGTGTCATATGTTCAAAATGCAATGCTAATGTACCATAGCATAAGCATATGTTTTATAGTCAATGTACAAATATGAAACTCTATGTTGGTGGTTATCAAGAGATTCATTGCCCCCCAGGTCTTGGCATCTCACTGAACTGCTAATCTACACATAGAAGTT